GTGGGCTTTTCTCTTTTTCTTTCTTCTTCCTCTTTTCTCTTCATCCTCCTCCTCCTTCAGAGATTTAGGGTAATGGTTTTATGGGACATCCCAATGAATTGAATAAATGTTGTGGTTACCTCCTATTGTGTTCTATCCCCCAATTCCCTGCCCAGTGCCTGGACTCTCAAAAGTCAGCCAACAACCATCTCTTTCAACCACTAGCATAACTAACCTCTGTTTGCCTGGGGAAACCGAGGAAGGGGGAGTCTAGAACCGGAGGAATTAGAGCACAGGCGAATTGCCTCCATGAGCATCCACTCCCTTTGCCATGAGACCGGAAGAACTGGATGGTGCTTTACCCCCATTGCTGAATATTTCAAAGAGTCCCTGGTTCATAGACATATGGATGGATTTTGAGCTCACACAGAATTGTAGCTCTAAGATCAACTCATTCTTATGCTTAATACCTGCCCTTCTTAAGAGACCTCTAAAGTTAGGGTATGAAAGCAAAGTGGTGAAGAAAGCAGATGATTCCTGCCTATCAAAGAACAGGTTGGGGTCTTGAAGGCCTGTCTTAAAGTGTGCAGCCATCTAAGTGAGCCATCCACTAAATCCATGTGGATGAAGCACATCAGCCTATGGACTCCAAGAACTGTAAATAATAAAAACCGAATCCAGAGGAGGGAATGGTATCAGAGCTCAAATTCTGAACATGTGGTTTGTGGAAGACTATGGAGGTTGCCAAAAGTCCAAAACCCATTCGCAGGTCCTCCATGCAGATGAAGTCTCTGGTGAATCCCGTCTGACTATAGACCAGGGATGGGAAAAGCCTTGTTATCAGACCGAGAGCATCCTAGAGTGGGTTCCTGCCATGGTAGTTGGTTCAAAATGTGATACCTTGTCATTTAATCTCCCTCTTGATCCAATGTATACTTGTTCCAGTTTTTAATATTTTCTGCTGTTTCTGATTCAGATTTTTCTCCGTTTCATTGTCATTGCTGTTGGGCTGTGTGTTTTTGTATGTTTTCCTGTACATGAAACCCAGGATAGATAACCCTATAGAGACAACAACGGGATGAATAGATTCAAAGGGACATGGCAGGGAAGGTGGGTGGGACATGATCACAAACAACAAGGAGGACAAGGAAGAGGAAATGTCCTGGAATTGATCTTGGTGATGGTTGTAGAACTCTTATGACTGTGATTGAACTAGTGAAATGTATGTTATGTGAATTACACGTTGGTAAAGCTTTTAAAATGATTTTTTTAAATCAATAAACTAATTAAAACACAAAAAAGACAGGGAAAATGC